CGGGGAAGCCCGGCATTCACGGGTGCATTGGTCGCCCTATGAAGGGCTCCGGTAATAATGGTCCGTCCCTGGCCCGCAGAGTCTCCTCGGCCCATTCCATTCGAGAGCCAGCCGTCGTCTCTCGGCGTACATCGGCCGCCGGAGGAAGCATTCCATTCATGTTTCGGGACGCGGAGCGGACGCTGATCGAAGGACGAGAGAGAGACAGAGTGGGATAACCGGGACTCCTCCGCGAGGACTAGCGCTGCCTGGCGCCACCGACAGGAACAACGACCTGCTGCTGCCGCTGCTGCTGTTGCTGCTGTTGTTGTATCAACATACACCGCCAGTCGCGACGATGACAATCGACAAGTTAACGTGAGAAACTCACGGGTCAACCACGTGGTGCGTGCGTTGGAAGCTGGACGTCTTCGAGCCGCGCGAACACCTCGGACGCGGCACTTTCTTCGTTGGAATCTAACCACAAGGGTGCGTTCTTGCCAATTGAATACGTATCGTGTGCCGCGAAGCGACAAACAGTGTGGTTCGATCGAAAAGCCGCGTTACGCGTATTGCACTTCCGTTGCAAGGACAATACCGCTTTTGTACGCGAGTATCGTGACAGCCCTGTTCCAACAACAGAGATTTCGTGCCGGGATGCAGGGATCGTGTTTTCCGAATCCTCCCGGTTCGAGCCTCGTCTAGCTCGCTCTCTTCGTCTCTCCTTCGTCCTCGTGTCTCGCTCTCGCTTGCCGGGGTTCTTTGTCTCCCTCTACTTTGTCCCTCCGCTTCCCGCTGCTTTCTGCCGAAACTCGGCGAAGGAAGTACGGTCGAAACGACGTGGAAGCACGTTGAACTGCTCGCTGAAATAACGGAGACTGTTCGTTTGATGAAGGAGGCAGGTTGCGAAACTCAGGACGCGTAAACAGGATTAGTAAGAACGGTGATCGTGAATCATCGTAGGCTTCCCTAAATTGTAGTAATAAGTTTCTCGGAACGTGGCACGTAATTCGTAAGTCATCCGCAGGGGTAATATAAACCAGAAGCGATAGACGTTCGTCCTGTCAGTGGGTAATTCTCGGGGCTTCGGACTGCGTGGCATCCTTAGCGGCCGTTAGCGACGCGCGGCATCGCGTCGCCTCGCGTCGCGTCGACTCGTGTCTCTCTCGCAAACTCTCTCTAACCTCCCTCTCCGCGTGCACATACTGGTGAGCCGATCGAGACGGCAGAGGAGCGTTGGAAGGGCTAGTGGCAGCTGTCGGTAGCGGTCGATGCGAGCGAACGCGGCTCGATCGAGGTCCCCTCGAGAGCGAGGCAGGCAGACGGGCCTACTTCCTCGAGGGCTCGGCAACGATAGAACCCGTATGCGCGTCCGTCAGTCGTGTCAGTACTTTTCAGCTCGGTCTACGGTGCAGTCGACTTTTACCATCGAGCCTCTCTCGACCGACACGCTCGTGACTCGGCCGCACGACGATTCGTCGAGTCTCCGTCGTTGGGTTATGGTTTCGCGCGCGCGCGTGCTCTCGCTCACGAGTGCTCGATCGTCGTGTGTTGCTCTCGTGCAACCGGGCTTACCAGTCTTATGTATGGCTACCGTGCATCCTGTCGTTCTCGTGTCCCGTTTGTCTGACCGGTGTCTGTCGTTGTCGCGTAATCCACGAGTTCGTCGAGTGTGATCGCGTCTCCTTCAGGGTAGGAGAGAGAACGTGCGCGTGCACTCGGAGCGACGTTCGTTTGATACCGCTTCCGGCACGTGGAACATACTGCGTTCTCTTTCTCTCTCTGTTTTCGTTCGCAGCGCATATCGCTGCCGTCGCCTCCGAGTTTCTCTCGTGGGAGGTCAGCACCTAGCCGGTGAGTAAGCGAACAAAACCCGTCGTACCGAACACACGGAATCGGATGAACCATCCTTGCTCGAAAAGTCCAGACCGACACGGTCCTTTTTTTTTTAAAGACCACCACCATGATTGTATGCAACTACGCATTTTTTTTCGTCACGTACCGCGTCTCGATGGACAGACTCGACACTTGTTGCTCGTTTTTCTTAGCGCGCGTGGTTTGGAGGCTAAAAAAAACCCAACGAACGTGCTGCCGATCACGATGACGACGGCCTCTCCCGTGTTTTCGAGTTCGACCGCGACGCTGAACATCGACGCTAAAATTCAACGTCGATTCGTTCATTTTTCTCAAGATTTTTCGTCGCAAGATTGCCGGTTACCTTACAGTAGCAACGCGTATCTGCGGAACGTGAGAAGGTGGAATGTCGGCGGTACGGCAAGATAAGACAAGAGTGAACCGTTTGCCGGGCGGGGGTGAATCCCCCTTTGCGCTTCTCTTGTTTACGGACCGCCGTCGACCACGTGGTGATAGATCGCGAACTTCTTTGAATTCGCACCACGAGAATCGAATTTCGTCAATGCGTCTGTCTTCGAAAGCGTACACTCGCATATGTGGACGAGAGAAAATATTTTTCGTCGCTGCGACGATCGATTATCGCGTTGGAAACGAGTGCCGTGGACGGAATTCAAAAACGTACCGCGAAACGTATCTTTTCCTGAAACGTCGATAGTTGTCGCGCGTGTCACCACGATTTTTAAATTATAGTTCATAAATTTCGGATCTCCGTCGTCGCTGCATTCTTGAGCACCGATGGGGTGCTTGGGGTTAAGCAAACGCTGCCGCATTCCCGTTTGTTGGTCTGTTTCGAAATAGAAACGTGTAGAAGGGCTAGTTAATAAGTGTTCGCCGCGTGAAAGACGAGACCAGATAATAGTGTCAACCCTATGAATAATCTGAAACCCACTGGCGCCTCCTTGTTTACTTTCTTCGTCTATGCGCCGTTTCCGGTCTCACTGAAACTTTCGAGTCTTTATCTATCTATATTGCTTCCCGTCCTCTGTCTAATTTCCAATTCTTTTGTCATTCGTTGAATAATTTATAATTCCACGACTTCTGTTCTATTATATTATATTACAACTTTAAATTGAAGCCATAACATTTGCACCGCAGTGATAACGGCATCATTAAAAGTTTGTTTAAAAAACAGGTACATTTAAATGCCTGATTTTTTTAAGGTTAATCAATTTCCTAGGACCTGTATGCATGTAAAATAATTTGCTCGAATTCGCGGAGAAATTGTAACAGCGATAATAGTTGATTGATAAGTTGCGGTCTCGTTTACGAGAACATACGAGGTCCATTCATTCGTTCGTGACTCGTTTCTCTAGCGATTTAAAGAGCTCTCGTCGACGAAACGACGACCTCGTGGCTCGATTAGTCTAAAACATCGCTCGATTCACGGTACATTAACAGAATCTTCTTTTATCGCTTCGTAATACATAGTGCGTAAACAGTGTGTAACACGTGTAACACCATTAAAAGATACGGGCACGGAACAGAACATGTTGTGCAATCGGACTTCGACGTTGGGAAAAATCAAAGTCAATTTAACCCACGAATCATCTACGCACGGCTGGTATAACGTTCACGTGATCGATTTCATGGGGTTTGCGAGATAATAGAAAGAGTACAGTGATATATAACATATATGTATGTATATGCGTTCCGCTTGAATGTTTACTTTCCTATACGTTCCTTGCATTTCCTTCAACCGTTTCCTCTTATCTGTTATCTAGCCGGACGAGCTTTCCTGTGTTATCGTTTCCCTTTCTGGGACCCCCATGCTCTCTTACTTCTTCTCTTTTAATCCTTCGAAATATGTCTAGAACTTCAGTGTTTCGTTTTCAAGTTAGATCTTCTTCTACGTAGAAGATATACTTCCATGGTGATATGTCATTCAAAATACGCGAGTGAGTCAAAAAGATGGTGGTTGCTACTTAGATACTGTTACACGTTTTTTAGCCTGAGAGCGTGCATCGATTGCTCGAAGTCCATCGAAGTTCCAAAAGACAGTTTCGCTTTCTTTCTTCTTAGATAAGACAATTGAATATTTATAGCGTCGACGACGAAAATGTAGCTTTTGACCCATCAATTTTGATTAAAATTTCGTAGGATGAAAGAATTTCCGATTTCGAAGAGAAAAAATTGAGAATACAGAGTACGGTCGAGCGATAAATAATCATAAATCTAGGCAGCGATAACATTGTAGACTTTTTCATGCTATGTGCTTGTTGGTGTATATAAATATTACGAAACACGTACCACACTTTGCCTTTTCTTGGCCCTTAAGCCTCCGTTCGAATTTTCTTGCTTTATCACGACGGAAAGTAGGTCTTCGTATCACGCAACCCGGTATTTATCATCGACTACACGCCCTCCTCGTTCAACTTTGTTGTTGGCATGACATTTGTCACTTTTCTCCTACGTTTCTCCCATTACGTTAGTTACTATTAACTCGTGAAGTACTTGTTTGCCTTGGAAATCGCGTTGAAACGTGTCTATGATATTCGCATCGTTGCAAACGAAACGGTTAATAAACTTGTACGCGCGCGAGAATGTTGTTCATAATCGAGAGTCATAAAACCATAAAGTAATCGACTCGATTATTCCATTCTATACCGCTACGACAATAAAGTTATAAATACATACTTATTTCAAAGGGGATACTTTACGAATAGGACAAACCTTCGACTACCAATTTCATCAATTTCTGTCTTCAGAAATTTCCAACTTTTCTGCGGAAAATCATAAATTTATTACGAGTAATAAGAAACTTTAGTCCGAACAACGGTCGTTATCGAGCGAATGAACAAGAAGGGACAGCCCTAACTGTACCGTATAAGAAGGTAGGTTTGCTGTTTACGAAATGTTCTGAAAAGCCGACGACCAGGTAAGGCTATTATATGAAACGCAGGTGTTGATGCAGATGTCGTGTAACAGACGGTGCAGTGGTGCGATCATGTAAGATAATTTTAATAAAACTCCAAGAGTCACCGATGTTTGCGTTCCGAGTGTTCGCAAGTGTTTCTTTTTACAAATTTATCCATAGCGCGTTCTCTTTGCAGCTAATTATTGTTTCACGTTATCGCGTACATCTTAATATCGTGTTCGAGGAACTTAATATTTATTGCCGGAATCGTGAAGTTCTCGTTTTTTACGTTTTGATCACCTTCGTACGACAGAACACAGCTATATTACGTGTCAGAGCTCGGAACGTAGAAAAATCTTTTACTAGAAACATGGAATCGCATTAATTTTCTTTTCTCGTTTCAGGTGAAACTCGAAATGTTGTGATGGCTGGAACATCGCGACGTCCGAGCTCCGAGCTTGGACCCGACCTCTCGTCCCCAACGCCGCCGAAGAAGTCCAAGTTCTCCTCCGAGTCCTCCGTCGAGGGAACATCGGAGAAAGAGCATGAGTTGAGCACGGAAGAACTGGAGAGGTCGGTGGTGGCATCGTTGTCCGGGAAGACGTTAGAGCTGATCCCTGGAGGCGCTTCAGGTTCGAGTCCGTTCGAGATCAAACAAACTAGTTTGGAAGGTTCGGTGAAAGTCACAGCTGGTTGTTCAAAGGAGGCCCACTTCGGTAGCTTTGAAACGATCATGCAAATGAAGTACAGTGGCCCCGAGGAACAACTATCCAGCTCGAGTAAACGGTCAGACACAGATAGTGACGTGCAAATTCAAACTTCGCTGTTAGGTGAAGACGCGTTGTATCAGGAGTTGTCGTTGATCGGAAATGGCGCATATGGCACCGTCTACAAAGCCAAGGATCTCAACACTGGACAGGTTGTCGCCCTGAAGAAAGTTAGAGTGCCCCTCACGGAGGACGGTTTACCCACTTCTACGCTCAGAGAGATCGCTACCTTGAAGCAGCTCGAAAGATTCGAACATCCGCATATTGTAAGTCTCGTAAACCTAATCTATCACAGAAAAGACCAGACCTTCTTTGTTGTCGCATAGGTTTATCCTCTCGATTGAACTAGAATTTTACTCATAATCGTAACGAAATGTACATAGGAATCACTGGGCGTGAAGGTTTGAAACCCGGACCTTTTTGTCGGATAACTATTAAGCTACGCAGGTCATTGGCAAATATTCTTTCCCTATACTCTGAAAGACCCAAACGGCTGCCGCCTATGTTTCATTCTATGTATGCTAGCTCTTTTATTTATACCAATTCGCTATTGTGTACGCAGGTAAGACTACTGGACGTTTGCCAAGGAAATTACCTGCATTTGCCCTCTGCTGACGGTAGATCGGAGAGGCTAGATCGTGGACTGACCCTATGGCTGGTGTTCGAGCACGTAGAAAGAGATCTCGCTTCTTACATGGCCTCGTGTACACGGCCAGGTATACCGCCTCATCTTGTAAAGCAAATGTCCAAGGAGATACTCAGGGGTGTCGAGTTTTTACACAGCCACAGGATCATACACAGGGACTTGAAGCCTCAAAATCTGCTCGTGTCCAGGGAAGGAAGAATAAAGATAGCAGATTTTGGATTGGCTAAAACGTACGATTTTGAAATGAGATTAACTTCCGTGGTAAGTCAAACAGTCGCGCGATGTAACATTTGTACAAGTATACTTGTATTTACAATTGTTTTTATGTACAGGTGGTAACGCAGTGGTACCGTGCCCCAGAAGTACTCTTAGGCTGCTCTTATGCAACTCCTGTCGATATTTGGTCCGTGGGTTGTATATTAGCAGAGTTGAGTAGACTCAAACCTTTGTTCCCTGGTACAAGCGAAGGTGATCAACTGGATAGGATTTTTCAGTGAGTAAACGAAGGTGTATTCTTAGATCGTACGTCCATGAAACGGTTTCGTATTCTATTCACACGCGTTTTAATTACTTCTTATAGAGTTATAGGAACTCCATCGCAAGAAGAATGGCCGGAAAATGTGTCTCTTAGTTGGACAGCGTTTCCCTACAGACAACCAAAACCTCTTGCGGCGATAATACCTGATCTCAACGAGCATGGACTAGATTTAATTAAAAGTCTGCTTATGTTTGATCCTCACAGTCGATTGACTGCTACTCAAGCACTCAGACATCAGTACTTTGCCGAAGATGACTCGTGATGAGTATTTTTTTCACGACTATTTTTGTCACTTTCCAGTCTTTTCTTTTTTTTCTTTTACGTGCAGACTGACGTTACGGTATCCAAAAATACGTAAGCGTATTATTTCGTAAGATCGTTGTAAAACATTTTTTTTTGTTTTTTTTGGTAAGATTGTATAGTTTATCGCGAGTACAGTACAGTACGATTTATGAATACTTTTTTCTCATTTAGAAATTATGATTGTAAAGTACATTTATTATATTCTATAGAACTATCATCGTATTTAATTCATATGACCATTAAGTTACTTCGAACATCATCATAATTTAAGTTTTCGATTTAGTTAAGCGACCGTACGATTGTCGCCGTTGGCGAATTTAGCGATTAACGTTCTTGGTATATTATTTATTTAGATAACGTTTAATTAGACTTTACGTTACTTTCGTTTCCACGATACTGGTGAGTCCAGACTAATCGATGTTCCATTTATTTTATAGAGTTTTTCGGTTACGTAGGAGGTAATGTTCTTTCCACTTGTAGATAATTAGGTTTACGAATGCGCACCAAAAATTATTTCGTATAACGATTGACTAGGTGTGCCTTCCAATGTCGCTAAATATTGGTATTCCATGCCTTAATTTTCTATGTAATTAAAGTTAATGATAAGCGTATACCGTTAAGTAACGTTATTCTCGTAAGACTGGGGCCTCTTTGACCCGTTAGATTCTTCGGAAAGATATAGGATCTTCCGTAATAAAAAAAAACCAGAAAGTACACTGCCATATGTATGTAAAACGAAGTAATTAATCATGTTTAATACTGTATTTTATGTTCAGTATGTGTATAAATCTTAAGTTTACGAGCAATATTTATATATAGATATATTATATATACATAAATACACAGTTTGTAAAGAAGCGTACGGAGGACCTTTAAAAAAGACTGTACAACAAAATAAAGATTTTATAGTTTTATATATAGATATATTTAAATTGAAATTAGTTTCGAAGAATATTATTGAATAAACCTAATGTATAAATCATAGTACACACTTTTGAACTACCCGCCTTTTATCGTCTGTAATATGGCGTGCTGAACAGGTCGTCCTCTTATTCGTATGATATAATCGGTAAGAATTTTGCGACATAATCTTATTGCTTATCTTATTGAAATAATTCGAGGGAATGCAAGATGAAACTGCTTTTGAACCTTGCGATAACTTCGTCTAAACGGTTGTCGCATTTGAATACCAATCTATTAAGCTATACTCCATGCTGGAGAAAAATGGCGAGCGAAGTGGAAAAAGCCCAAACTGCTGCTGCCGGAGGCGATACTATTTTCGGCAAGATACTTCGCAAAGAAATACCTTGCAATTTCATTTATGAGGACGACAAGGTAAATTAAAAAGAATTTGATCAAAAACACGCATTGTCTTCCATTGTTCAATATCTTACTCTCTCGTTGCGAAAATTGATTTGAGGTTATTCACCGGCTTATCAATTTGAACGATAGCTACACTATGTCACAATCATAGTTTATTTATATATAGCATAATATTAGTTTCGCAGTATTAATGTTTAATCTCAAGTTTATTTTCATCATAATATCGTTCATGTTAATTTCGAGATTTTTCTACGAGCTATCGATACGACCAGTCCTTGAAATTTTATCTCGTGTAATTAATTTTTGTACCGAAGTTGTGACGTGTTAAAGGAAGTAAAAAATATTTTGTTAATGCGTTAGTGCGTTGCATTTCTCGACGTCAACCCCCAAGCGCCGGTGCATTTTCTGGTGATTCCTCGAAAACCGATCCCGCAACTGTCGAAATCCGAGGACGAAGACGAGGCATTGCTGGGTCATTTATTGGTAGTTGCGCGAAAAGTGGCGAAGCAGCAAAATCTCGATGAAGGTTTTCGTTTAGTCATCAACAACGGCAAGCACGGTGCACAATCGGTGTACCATTTGCATCTGCACGTTCTTGGCGGTCGTCAAATGCAGTGGCCTCCCGGCTAAGGATCTTTGCCCGTGTTTCATTTCTCGATACAAACGAAATTGTAACTTGCTATTATAGAGAAGCACATTTTGTTAATAATAAAGCAATTTAAAAAGAAGTAATTAACCTTTACAAAACAAGTATTGATTTATTCCTTTTGATACACTTCGTACACAAACTGTATACCGTTTTCTTCCTGAATACCTTGAGGAATAGTTGGATCACTAAAAAAAAAAGGAATAAAAAAAATCGGATAAATGAACAACAAAAGAGGGGTGAACACTTTTACACAATTGTGTGATGATTCACGTTTGCTTGAAATAATTGTACGTAAAAACAAATGAACTTACTGAACCAAAACAAAATTATTAGGGATAGTTGGGAAAAAAGTATCACAATCGAAGTGTTTTTTTATTCTGGTCAAGTATAACCGAGAAAAGTTAGGAGACTCCATTGCAGCCTACAACACAACGGATGAACATGTAAATTATAGTTAAGAATGCATTATAATTTGCATAAATGACGCACACCTTATACACGGAACTCCCTCCTATTACCCATATACTTTCAACTTGATCCTTCAGTGATTCTTTCGAAATAGTTTCGAGAGCGTGTGGAATACTTTTGCATGCGATTACCTCGTTTCCGTAGTCCCTAAATATTTGCACACAATAAACGATCCTTTTCTCTAAATAATATTTCTATAAAAATAACAGAAAATCCTTACAAGTTTTTCGACGTTAATACTATGTTTATTCGATTTTGTAGCGGCCTATATTTGCTCGGTATACATTCCCACGTCCTTCGCCCCATAAGAACAACATTCTTTTTATTTGGATCCTTCGTTTTCGTAGTCATAGACGTAAAAAATGCCATTTCGCTTCTGTCATCGTGAGATAAAACAGAAGTAGAGAGTCACTGTGATTGAAAAGCAAACACGTGATATAATAAATATCTCATACTTAAGCTTCCACGGTAAAGTTCCTTTTACACCAATTCCCATCCCTTCACAGGCTGCCGCGATCAAATTTAAGCTCATATTGGTATGTTCAAACTTCGACACGTGATTTGAACGTATGTAAGTGCATCAAAGCATCACTGACAATGCAGAAAACCGTTAAATTTCATTTGAAAGGATATAGGGGACAGCACAATCTTTAAACACGTGCTAAGCGAATTTTAAAGTACAATCTATAGAATGGAAGGGGAAATAATGACTCATTTATCGTGATCAGTGAAGTTTTCTTGATCTTGTTTTAAACCATAGGCATGCGAATAAGGTTGAGAATACATGAATGTTAAACTACCTGTTGACCGAAATCCTTGCGCATATTGTGTATACGGACAGATACACAAATGTGGGTCTGATAAATCGCTCAGGTACATCCAGACTAAAAATGCAAATCGATAAAAATATTGAATCGATCCAAAAATTGCATCATCTAAATTGATCATAAGAGATATTAGAAATAGTTTCGACGGGGAAAAAAATTTCATTTGAAAATGAGAGGGAAATTAGTTCTAACTAGGTTAAGTAACTGTATTGTTATTCATCGCCACCTAGTGAGAATTACAAATCCTCGTTCATAGATGACAGCATATGCATGTTTGTATGGAAATAACGAACGTAGTTACAGCGCCTCCATTTATAGGCAGAAAAATAGAACCATGAATTCTTTTTTAATAGGTGGCAGCACAAGTCCTTTAAAAACTTCATCGTCCACATTCCAACACTTGTCAGTTTATCAAACTGCAAGATTTTGGTATTCTCCATTCTTGCGATAAATTTGTGAAATTATTCAGAAATCTTTAGTGTATCATAAGGTAAAATATAATCATTAGTATCGCTTAATTGTAGTTAGTACAAATACTTGAATTTATTTCGTGAAGCATATCTTGCACGTTATTCCCATTTATTTCCAAGAGATTTTCAATATTAATTTACAAATTCCAGCATTTTCCGCTAACTCGTATAGCTAAAATATACAATATTTTTGAAAAAATGTTGTACGAATCAGTGTTTTGCGCATGATGCAATACTTATAGGTTATGTTTTCACGCAAATTTTGGAGGTTATGTTTCACACCTTTTTTAGCAATTTGAAAGTTAGTAATGTATGCTAAGCGAATTTTAAAGTACAATCTATAGAATGGAAGGGGAAATAATGACTCATTTATCGTGATCAGTGAAGTTTTCTTGATCTTGTTTTAAACCATAGGCATGCGAATAAGGTTGAGAATACATGAATGTTAAACTACCTGTTGACCGAAATCCTTGCGCATATTGTGTATACGGACAGATACACAAATGTGGGTCTGATAAATCGCTCAGGTACATCCAGACTAAAAATGCAAATCGATAAAAATATTGAATCGATCCAAAAATTGCATCATCTAAATTGATCATAAGAGATATTAGAAATAGTTTCGACGGGGAAAAAAATTTCATTTGAAAATGAGAGGGAAATTAGTTCTAACTAGGTTAAGTAACTGTATTGTTATTCATCGCCACCTAGTGAGAATTACAAATCCTCGTTCATAGATGACAGCATATGCATGTTTGTATGGAAATAACGAACGTAGTTACAGCGCCTCCATTTATAGGCAGAAAAATAGAACCATGAATTCTTTTTTAATAGGTGGCAGCACAAGTCCTTTAAAAACTTCATCGTCCACATTCCAACACTTGTCAGTTTATCAAACTGCAAGATTTTGGTATTCTCCATTCTTGCGATAAATTTGTGAAATTATTCAGAAATCTTTAGTGTATCATAAGGTAAAATATAATCATTAGTATCGCTTAATTGTAGTTAGTACAAATACTTGAATTTATTTCGTGAAGCATATCTTGCACGTTATTCCCATTTATTTCCAAGAGATTTTCAATATTAATTTACAAATTCCAGCATTTTCCGCTAACTCGTATAGCTAAAATATACAATATTTTTGAAAAAATGTTGTACGAATCAGTGTTTTGCGCATGATGCAATACTTATAGGTTATGTTTTCACGCAAATTTTGGAGGTTATGTTTCACACCTTTTTTAGCAATTTGAAAGTTAGTAATGTATTCAAAACCAATATTTTTTGTAAAAAAAGTTGGGATTTGATTGGCAGGTAAATTAAGGATATACGTTTAGAATGGCCAGTCGCGAAGGGGGTAAGAAAAAGCCTCTGAAAGCACCTAGAAAGGAACAGAAAGTTTTGGACGACGAAGACGTAGCATTCAAACAAAAGCAGAAGGAACAGCAAAAAGCACTGGCCGAAGCTGCGAAGAAAGCGAGTCAAAGGGGACCTCTCGTTACAGGCGGTATAAAAAAATCTGGAAAAAAATGATCCACACAAGACTGAAGAAACTATCGATCTTCGTGCACACCGTGTTCTTATCAAGGCATGATTTTGATATTATCGATTAGTGTACCATCCGAAATATTTTCGGACCCCTACTCTGCTAAATGGTTAACATTTGTAAATAAAACGTTTATGGATTAAATCACAGCAATATACGTAATTTACAAACATTTACGTTTTTCCGTTCGGTATAACAATTAAATATGTTCAAGCGATTTAATCGATACGTTTCATAAGTTATACACATACTCGATCTAATCAAATGTCACGTATTAATATTAATAATAGTAAGACATTTAACATATAGTTCCTGACAGTTTTTACTAAGATGTAAGATTTGTACGACCATGAAATTGTTAACTTTCGAGCTTTTTTATTGCTTAACGATACATTTGATCTCATTTAACTGTTAAATAATAAACCGTTACATCAATTAACCTTGACGCCAAAATACTCTGTTCAAAGATTTCAAACGTGTCTAGACGATTCAGTCACAGATATGTCGTATCGACAATAATTGTTGCGAAAGTTCATCGATAAAATACAAAGTAACAGAAGGTACAAAAAAGTGCTATAAACGATGTGCATTAATTCGATCGTTCTGTACTGTTTATTAAATCGTCTAAAAACATACATGTATCCATCGCAGAAACGTGAATTACAGCTGATTGCCATATGATCGACAGTGTCGGCAACCTTTGGGAAAGAAATTCCTCGATCGTTCTATTTCCAATCCTTTTCAACTTATTCGTGACTAAACTTTGTTCATGATATACATTGTAAAAGACGTTAATAACAAGAAATTTAATGTTCGATTTATTCCTTGCAAAACGTTTTCTTAATAAATTCGTAACATTAAACGGTAAACGAAAGGAAAAAATAGAAACAATCGGTATTCTTGTTCCAAACTTGTTATTCGAAACTCTCGTGTCATTTTGGACGAAGTCTCGATAAAATTTCGTCAAAATGAATAAAAAGAGTAGTTCGGAATTTCACGACGTCTATAATCCATTACTAGAAGCGCGTTTCGCGTTTAGAAATGCATCGACATAAAAGGCATTGTTTGATTTCAGGTAAGCTTTCGTGCATCGTTGCAAAGGGTAGAGAGGTGCAGTTACTTTTATCGAACAAGCGTTGGTGCGCGTGCTTGCTCGCGGAGAACTGTCACTGGCTGGGTCAGTTGGCAACAGACCTTCGAGGTGGTTGGAAGTGTTCGCGTTATTCGTTCGAATATCGGCGAACCCGTTGAACTTCTCTCTCGTCAAATTTTCGACGCGTAACCACGATCGAAATCAGGCAGAATCGTTCCTGCACCGTGACAGAGGGACTTCATTAGGGAGAGACGAATTCGCGAGTGCGCCGATAGTTCGAGAAAACCATGGGGTTCGTCAGGATCATTTGACCCACGGGAACGACTCCAGGCTCGGTGGATCGTGCTACCTCGCGTGATACTTCAAATCGGTGAGTACGAACGATTCTCTTACTCTTTCTTTTTCTTCGCGTGACAGTTGCTTTCCGTCTCTCCCTCGGGAGAGACAGATTCTCCCTCTGTTACTGCTGTGTCCGTCACTGTAAACGCTGTGTACCATAGACAGTGTATGCGCGTGTTTGTGCGTTGGTCACAAAGGGACACCATGTTATTCACCTGCATCACGTACCATATTGCGAACCTTGTGCTTTTTCTCTCTCTCCACCACCCTCAGAGGGTTGTGTTTTAACTACCAGTGAAATGATCGAGCGCGATTTCCTGGCTTGACATGTGTTGGTAACGCGATGGCCACATAGACGGTTTATCGTAGGTGTATTGTATCGCGTGAGAGAAAGAGAGAGCACGTTCGGTTAATGCGTATATCTCTAGATGTGCGGTACCTTGGTCGAGCTCGCTCGATTTTTTCTTATTTCATCACGCATGGAAACCTCAAACAATCGTTAATCATTTAACGAATAAATAATTACGCCTACCTTTTTAATTCGACTCTGTCGGTAGACTAAATATAGAGTAGGAAATTCACGCAGCTGATCGTATCGATGTGTCACTGGAAATCTTCCATACAAAGGGTTAGGATTCAGTTTTGTGTGGGTTGTTAGGTTAGCAAAGCAGCGAGGCTGCTATTTGGCCGTCGTGTTTAATTTACTTTTTTTTACTTTCAAACATCGAGTTTTGCAACGACTGGAAATGAAATATTGTTTATTTATGAATAAAAACGAGACAGGAAATGAGCAAATATGAACAAATCGGGAATGTATGAAATGAAGCAAGAACTTGTAGGTATTACGATATGTCATGACATTTCGATTCTTTACGAGGTTTTCGTTAAACGTTTTATTAGCATTACAAATTTCATTTGAAAAGTCAGATTTATAATACTATTTGGTGCCATCAATCTGTTTATTTATGTTTGCAGGAAATAGTTTGAAGCAGAACGGAAGTCACGTGCATCCATCGTTTAATACGAATGTATATGTATAATTTGAAATCGTCGCGTCGATCTGGCTAGAATTCGAACGTCCTAACCTAGTCGACCATGCGTTGGCACGTTTGACCCGAGTCATTCGAATGTTACAGATCATCGAAACGCTCGCAACGTTGTTTTGCGTCTCGAAATTGTTTCATTGGATCGTCTGTAACGCTTTGAAAGCGTTGCACAACGTATTCCGTCACCAAAAATTGTCGTTCGTCGTTCTTTTATTTAACTTCATCGACTCGTCTCGATCGGTCGCGAAACGATCGTTGCGACGAAACTTACGACGCAGTTGGATGCACACGTGCGTTCGACTCGGTACTTTAACCCTTTCACCGAGGACGCATAATACGTTCATACGAATCAATGGCGTTAATTTTAACCGGTTGAAAAGTTAGTTGCATCGTTGCAGAGTTTGACCTAACGTACAAAACAAATCAATTAACGGACTGACATAAGGTTCGATGTTAGGGTTATCTTTATCGTACAGTTTTCGTGATTTCACAGCGTTTGTGGTACTACGCACCACAACGACGTTTCGTTGCGTCAGACTTTTAAACATCACGAAAGAAACACGTGTGTATTAGATTATAAATTCAGGTTATAATCAATTATACGATTCTTGGTAAGTTTCTCTCTTGCCACAGAATTGCACGCGACAGTAGAAACGGACATGCACGATAAGACACGTTGAAGCTCTAATTGTTTAAGTATACGAACGCGTAATTGTTAATTTTCGAATGTTAGCTTTCAATTTCTAACATCTTGCATAACCGGTAATTAATAGTAATGTTATTCAAACGTTTTATCTCTTTTTTCAGTTATACAATTACATTACATTCGAAGCAGTCAATGTGTTGGTATATGATCGCGATGTTAGAAACGTGAGTAGTACAGTTTGCGGTTGTTCAGCCTCCTACGAGAGAGACTTTTTTTTCAAATCAGTTTTTTCGAGCGCGATTAAAGGAACGATTCGTGAGTAACTTTCTTGACAGTCGATGTAAATAATGCCGAGTGAAGTTGATTAAGCGTTTGGTCGGGGATTTAACGATATTACGTAAATACGATCACGCGTGGTCGTGCCAAATAGTCGGTGGGAATTATCAGCAACGATCTGTTTGAATCTCATTTAAATCATCGTACTTCGTAAATCACTTCCGAGCGTAGTTAGTGGGGCGTACGCAATGCGGTAACAATGAAAAGCTGGAAATCCTTCTACGTGTTTCAATCGCGGATGAAAATTGCTTGCACACGGTTCTAACGTGTTTTTAATCGTGACTAAATCGCAGAAATCGCTCTAGAAGTTGAAAAGCTATGCAATTTTCTTAACTATCTACCTCCTCGATCGCTTAAGATCGCCACGGGTTAACTCGTCGTGCGTTATATCACGGAGCTTTAGATCGCCACGTGTTGGTTTCCTATGTGTCAGGTTGTACAACTTTTCTTATTCACCGTTTAAACGTCACCGTTTTCTCCGGTTGTAATAAGCGAATTACGGTGGGTATAATGATACGTGTCATATACTTTTACGATCTTTAAACTAGCAGGACGATGATTCAGTAGACTAATCGCACACGCTCGTAAAGTTTTCTCGTATGGCTCCACTTTCTCGGCTGCAAGTAGCACATCCTTCGCGATTCGTGTACGGTTAGCTCTGTTCGCGAGTGCTCAGCGCTCAAGAAAAAAAGTGTACCATTAAAACGGTACACCGGACTGAATAGGGTTTTCCTTCTTAAAAGCTCGCGAAAGAAACGAACGGTCTCGTACGAAGATCCTTCGAACCATTGCCTCGGCGTGTATCGGTTGCCTTATGTAAGCGCGATCCATGCTAGATAGAAGATAACAGTGCACGTGTTATCCGAGAGAGAAGACCATTTACCGCAGCCTCGTTCGAGGGGGACGATGCAGCTCGTACAGCTGCATTGCACCTTGGCCATACACCACGAACTAAAAGTCATTTCGGTATTCATAGCGTACCAGTAGATTATGCGATTTAACGAACCGTAGTTGCAACGAAATCGTGTCGAAGAAACGAAGAAAAGACTTTTCTTTGCCACTCGACGATATAACCGAGACTGACGCGATGGACAAAACGAATTTAGATTTTCCACGTTTTGTTCTCACAGTTGGGTCGAAGTAGAGCATCGATAATAAGGACCGGTTGTCAAGGTTGATTCGTGATTTTCCGTTCGGATAGACAGAATTCGTTTGCAGAATTTCGTGGAAAATGGGCTTGGCTTGCTGCTCGACTCGATTGCGAAACTCTTCATAATTGTTTCGCCGGTCCGTTTTCTCCGCTTCAGCTAAGCATGTAGCAATGGGAAGAACGTTATACTGTTCTTCCAATTAGACAGACACGATTACGATCGACAGTTTTGCGGAAAATTTTCGAGGAAGCCCATGAATCACGGATATTATGGTTCTTTTTTGATACCACGCATCTCGATAATAATCGGTTTCGCTCACTTTCACCGCGATTTCAAACTGCTTGGCGATAATTATCATTGAATCCTAGATTCGTGAAAGTCGCGATAAATTACTCGCTGTAATTTCGTCTTGTTGCAAGCTGCGCTTGGCCTGCTTTCGGAAAATAACTTTCCTACATCGTAACATTTTTACTTTTACAAAATTGGAATATCGGATCGACCGTTACATTAGGAACGATAGCAATCTTGAATATTGCAGTTCTGCTTCACGAATGGCTATCAACATTAGAGGGTTGAAACGTCGACGCCACATTTCAACGGCGAGGCGAAAAACTCAGTCGACGTCGCTTTAAATTTATTTCGAGAGACGAACGAATAATTCTCGAGGGTCAAACGTGCAAGAACCTCCGGTAGTCACCTTGAATTTTCTCGAGTGCACGTCGAAAACAGTTTGGTTCAACGTCCTCTCCTCAGGATACAACGCCCCCGTGTTGTTTTGACATAACTCGTCCGTCACGTGTTTTGTCGTCCCATAAATGATCGAGGTAACAAAGCTGGTCTCCGTTTGTATTCGCGGGCAGAACGCGTGTTTCTTTGTCGCGGACGTTGGTAGCCCAATGTTATTGGGTCGTTGACGTCGAAAAAAAGAAGAAATATGGCAAAAATCGTTGGACTGCCGAGAGAAAAGAAACGGTCTTTCTTGTGCCAAGAGTTCGAAGGAAAGGTAGACATTCGCTCGAGGAACAAGAAGGTAGTTGTGCCAAAAATATTCGCTCCTTCTTAATTTTATTTTGAGAGTAGATGTTGGTTTTCCCGCCTTTCTTATTCTCGACTCTGCCAGTTTGCTTTTTCGTTCTTCGGATTTCCAAACGCGTAAAGGGTTCTTAAAGAAATGTCAACTTTGAATTTTAATTCAGAAAACGGAGATAGTTCACCTATCGCGCTTGTAACGAATTTACGGCGACAGTCGATACGTTAATTAGAAATTGAACAGTTGACCGTCCAAACGTGGCGTAGCTAATGATCCGCGTGTGCATGTGCATGCGAGTGCACGTGCAACCGCGGAATTGCATCGGTGTTGGTTGCATAATATACAGGTAACCTAGATTTGCACCCACTGTTTCCCACCCACCGGCCTCATTACCCCTTTGAGATTCTCTTTTCTCTCCACCTGTCCCTCAGCCTCTCCAGAAAACTTTTGTCTCGCGTCAAGACGCTCTTCTTCCTCGTTTCGATGGCGTCCCGGTGCCAGGTTCACTGGACTCGAGAGACATTTCTCCATAATCTCGGTGCAGCTGTTGCTAGAATTTTAGTACGTGCGCGATTCTCGCGATATTCTGAATTTTCCTTTCTTCCGTAAGAGGTAGCGCGAACCCTTTGTAGTCGAAGCGCAACCCCAGCCTCGAGTTTGCACGAGCCTCGCGGCAGCTCATTCGATATCGCGTGCTCGATCGTCGACGCTTCGAAGCTGATAATAAAATACGTACATCCGCATAAAACTCGGAAAGTTTCGACCGAAAGAATAAGTTGACGAACGGAGAATCGGTGGGTGATAGGGTTAAGGGTCGTTTAA